ACCTCAGGTGATCCACCCACCTCAGCCTCCCAAAGTGCTGGAATACAGGTGTGAGCCACGGCGCCCAGCCAGCATTATGTTTTTAAGGTTCAGCCATGTTGTAGCACCTATCAGAACTGCATTTCTAGGCCACGCACAGTGTCTTACGCCTGTAATCCCAGGACTTTGGGAGGCCAAAGCAGGCAGATCACTTAAGGTCAGGAATTCGAGACCAGCCTGGCCAACATAGTGAAACGTCGTCTCTGCTAAAAACACAAAATTAGCCAGTTGTTGTGGCATGCGCCTGTCATCCCAGCTACTCTGGAGGCTGAGGTGGGAGAATCTCTTGAACCTGGGAGAAGGTTGTAGTAAGCAGGGATTGAACCACTGCACTCCAGCAAGGGTGAGAGAGTGAGACTCTGTCTCAAAAAAAAAAAAATTCATTCCTATGGCATGGACAAATAGGATCCTATGGCATGGACGGAGCGCATTCTGTTTATCCACTCAGTCCGTTTATGGTATCCGGATTGTCTCCACCTTTTGTCTATTATGTGTGGCGGCTCACCCCTGTACTCCCAGCACTTTGGGAGGCTGATGTGGGTGGATCACTTGAGGTCGGAGTTGGAGACCAGCCTGGCCAACATGGTGAAACCCCATCTCTACTAAAAATACAAAATTAGCCAGGCGTGGTAGCAGCGCCTGTAGTCCCAGATACTTGGGAGAATCACTTTAACCCAGGAGGTGGAGGTTAAGGTGAGCCAAGATTGTGTCAGTGCACTCCAGCCTGGGTGACAGAGTGAGACTCTGTCAAAAAAAAGAAAGAAAGAAAGAAAGGAAGGAAGGAAAGAAAATAATAAATAAATAAATAAATCTCAGGACTCCCTCCCAAGGCTGAACATCCAGGAATGAAGCTAAAGCTCTGTGCCCAGAAAAGGGTCAACAGGGCCATGCTGGCCAGGCACGGTGGCTCATGCCCATAATCCCAGCACTTTGGGAAGCTGAGGGGAACGGATCACCTGAGGCCAGGAGTTCAAGACCACCCTGACCAACATGGTGAAACCCTGCTTCTACCAAAAATACAAAAATTAGTTGGGCATGGTGGTGCATGCCTCTAATCCCAGCTACTCAGGAGGTTGAGGCAGGAGAATCACTAGAATCCAGGAGGCAGAGGTTGCAGTGAACCAAAATTGCACCACTGCACTCCAGCCTAGATGACAGACAGAGACTCAGTCTCGAAAAAAATAAAATAAAATACAGGCCATGCCTTGCTGGCTGAGGGGATATTTATCTGTGAGCATTGAGAGGAGTCCCTCTTGCCCCAGACTACACAAGGCAACTCCTCTCACCCCAAGCTGTCAACAAGGTCCTTGAATGTGGTGCTCAGCCATATTCTCGCCATTCAGATCTGGAAGTGATTATCAGAAGGGAATTTGAGACAGGAGCTCCCAGGCCTGATGCTCTTGGCATGTCAGTATCTGGGAGGGGCCAGCCTGAACCACCTACTCAGGAGCTGTGAATAATGTTACCCAACTCTGACCCCATAGGGAGAATAATCTCACAGATTTGTATAACCTGCCCTTCCAGCCCCTGCAGATGCAGGTGAGCCCAATTTGCCCCAGATTCTCAATGGGGTAGTCCGGCTTGCTCTGAGCCAGGATGTGATTAGGGGCTGTGGAGGAGCTCTTTACCATGCTGGGACTGAGGCTTGGGGCTGTGTCTTAGCCTGGTTAAGGGAGAGAGAAGGTTCCAGGCCATGAGAATCTTGGCTGGACAGGCAACCAGCCAAGAGACAGTTTGTACTGGGTTGAAGACTGGCTGGGGCTACTGGCCAGGTACCTAAGGAGGAGAGGAAATTTTCATGAGAGGAAACACAGTGGCAGCAGTGTGACTGGCCAAGGGTGGACTACAGACCCAACTGGGCCAGTCAGGGTTTGGGGACTAGAATTCAGAAACATCTAGTTAGTTTCTGTGAGTGATTGGAACTGAGGTGATATAAGGGGCAGCTGCTTCCCACCATGAGCATGAGAAAGCTGATTTGCAGAAGAAGAAAGATTTACAAAGATACGGGGAGGGAGGGAGTTAGAGAGAGAAATAGAAAGGCTTTGCTGTAGACAGGTGTCCAATGCTGGAATCCAGTTCCTTGTAAACTCCAGCTGAATTTCCTGTTATTGGACTCCTCGAAAGACTCTTATATCCTAGTAGTAAATTTCCCTTTTGGGATAATATGAGATGCTTTTTCTACTGGCAACCAAAGAACCTTATATAAGGCAGGAAGATAACTGAGGAAGTTTCCTATTCATCAATTACAGTCTACTAGGAGAGAGAAAGCAGCACCTGCAAACGTAGGCATCACCACCATACCGAGGGCCAGAGAGGCGAAGGAAGAAGCACTCACAGAGGCCACAGGCCAGACCTGGGTAGCAAGAGATGAAACCAGGTACACTTTCTGCCAGAGACACTCCCTGAGGCAGAGAAAGAGGGGAAGAAAGACCCCAGCAATTCCCACTGGCTGAATGCAGCCGGAAGTCACTTCGGGGAAGTCACTGCCCAGAGGCAGGAGGCAGCATCCCTGCCAAACAGAACACAGCAGAAGGGCAGAGAATGAATCTGCCTGCTGTGGTGACTGGCACTTACAATCCTTTGAGAGGCTAAGGTCAGAGGAGACTTGAGGCCAGGAGTTTGAGACCGGCTTAGGCAACATAGTGAAACCTCTGTCTCTAAAAAATGAAATTAGCCGGGTATGGATGGTGGTATGTGCCTGTAGTCTCAGCTACCGGGGAGGCTGAGGCAAGAGAATCACTGGAGCCCAGGAGTTCAAGGCTGCAGTGAGCTATGATCACGCTGCTGCACTCTAGCTTAGGTGCCAGAATAATAAAATAGAATAAAAATAAAAAGGCTGGGTGCAGTGGCTCACACCTGCAAATCCCAACACTTTGGGAGGCTGCGGCGGGTAGATCACGAGGTCAGGAGTTCAAGACCAGCCTGGCCAACATGGTGAACCAGGGAGTCGGAAGTTGCAGTGAGCCAAGATCATGCGACTGCACTCCAGCCTGGTGACGGAGGGAGACGCCGTCTCAAAAAAAAAAAAAAAGGAAAGAAAGAAAGAAAAAGTGGTCCTTCCAGGACACAACTTGGGAAGCAGATGAGGCAAGGTGGGCACTCCAGGACAAGGTATTATTTTCACAACAATGCCTGAAGACTCTGGTTCCTTTATTTTATTTTATTTTTTAAAGACGGGGTTTCACCATGTTGGTCAGGCTGGTCTTGAACTCCCGACCTCAGGTGATCCGCCCGCCTTGGCCTCCAAAGTGCTTGGATTACAGGCGTGAGCCACCACGCCCGGCGACTCTGGTTCCTTTCTTTCTCCTTTTTCTTTTCTTTTTTTCAATCTGCAGAAGTCTCTTTTTTTTTTTTTTTTTTACAGGGCCTCACTCTTTTGGTTTTTTTTTTTTTTTTTTTTTTGAGACAGGGCCTCACTCTTTTGGCCACAGTGATCTTGGCTCACTGCAGCCTCCCCCTCCAGGGTTCAAGCGATTCCCATGCCTCAGCCTCTCAAGTAGCTGGGATTACAGGTGTGTGCCACCATGCACAGCTAACTTTTGTATTTTTAGTAGAGACAGGGTTTCACCATGGTGGCCAGGCTGGTCTTGAACTTCTGACCTCAAGTAATCCACCTGTCTTGGCTTCCCAAAGTGCTGGGATTACAGGCACGAACCACCACACCTGGCTGAGACTCTGGCTCCTTTCTAGGACTCCTTAACCTGAGGACCACCAACTCTCGCAGTGGGAGTCCCCCAAAGCACATCATTCATTCATTTATTCATCCAACAAATATTTATTGAACAACTACTATGTGTCTGGCACACTTCTAGGTCCTACGGAGGTGGCAGTGAGAAAGCACAAAAACTCTTCTGCTTTCAAACAGGGCAAAATGCCAGTAATTGTTAAATATGGCCAGAGGCGGTAACAGGTGTTCATTGTCATTATGTCTTTTTTCTGTGTTTGAAAGTTTTATTGAAAATAGAAGTTAGAAGAAAAAAATGTTTGTCTTCCAAGAGGCAGACAATAAATAAGGGGTGTATGTGTGTTGGTGCTAAGTGCTACAGAGAACATAAAACAGGAATAAGGGTTGGCAAGTATATATGGAAATTCCAACTTTAAATAGGGTCATTCCAGGAACTCCTCACTGAGAAGGTAACTTTTGAATAAAGCACTGAAGGAGAGAAGGGAATGATCCAGACTGCTTTCCTGACAAACAGATGTCCTGGCAGCAGGGACAAAAGAGGCAAAGGCCCTGAGGCCAGAACATGGCCAGTATTTTCCAGGAACAGCAAGGAAGCAAGTGTGTGGCTGGAGCAGAGACAGGGTGCCAGGAGTTGGGGGCAAGGTCAGAGTGGAAAGGGGAGGGGGCAGGCAGATCACACAGGGCCCTGAAGGCCGGAAGGGCTGTGGCTTTTACTGGAGTGACCAGGGGAGGCCCTGGAGGGTGAGAAAAGAATGACGGAAGCTGACTTGTGTAGGGTAATGAGTAGGCACCCTTTGGAGGCGGGGGTCTCTAGAGCTCCCATTAGACACTCAAGGCAGTCCAGATCCCCACAAGGCTAAAAACCAGTGTGATGGTCCGGCATGGTGGCTCACGCCTCTAATCCCAGCACTTTGGGAAGCCCGAGGCCTGCGGATCACTTGAGGTCAGGAGTTCAAGACCAGCCTGGCCAACATGGTGAAACCCCCCCTCGTCTCTACTGAAGATACAAAAAATTAGCCGGGCGTGATAGCTTGCGCTTGTAATTCCAGCCACTCGGGACGCTGAGGCAGGAGAATCGCTTGAACCCGGGAGGCGGAGGTTGCAATGAGCTGAGATCGCGCCACTGCACTCCAGCCTGGGCGACAGAGTGAGACTTTCGTCTCAAAAATCAAACACAATGTGAGGTAGATTTGCCGTTCAAATTTTGCCGCTACCGGGTCTCGGCAGGAAGGGGCGGGCACTGCCTGGTCGCTAGGCTGGGGTGGCGCGTTGCCATAGCGACCCTGGCCGGGCCCGCGGCGCGCGCAGCTGAAGGAGGCTAAGTTTGGAGGCTGCGACCCCGCCGGTGAGCGCAGGTGAGCTGGGCGCAGGTGGGGCAGGGCCAGGAATCCTGACTGACACCAAGTCGTCTGGGCCCCGCCCCCTTTCCATTGTGGTCCTTTTTTTTTTCCTCCTGGAGACAGGGTCTTGCTCTGTCGCCTAGGCTGGAATGCAGTGGCGCTGATGATAGCTCATTGCAGTCCTGACCTCCGAGGCTCAAGGGATCCTCCCCCTCAGGATCCCGAGTAGCTGGGACTACAGACAGGCCTGCACCACAATGCCAAGCTAATTTTTTAATTTTTTGTAGAGATGAGGTCTCACCATGGTTGCCCAGGCTGGTCTCCATCTCCCGGACTCATAGAATACTCCCATATTGGCCTCCCAAAATGCTGGGATTGCAGGCATCAGCCCCATGCTGCCAGGCTGGTCTGTAATTCAGCACCAGAACAACCTGGGCAGACTTTCATTTCCTGTCAACAGCTCACGTGTTAAGACCACAGTCTCCTCTGGAGTAGAACCTATGTTACCTAAAGTGTGGGATGGAGGGTGATTTTAGGTTACACTGATGAGGTGTGAAATAACACCCAATGACATCATAAGAAAGTTATTAGAGTCTGGGTTCTCTTACAATTCTGAGCAAGCCAAGGAGAGTCAATTTGGTGATCACGTGGCAATTAACACCTCTTTTAACATTTGCTAATCTCTATTTTTTTTTTTTTTTTTAGTAGAGACGGGGTTTCACTATGTTGGCCAGGATAGTCTCGTTCTCATGACATTGTGATCCACCGGCCTCGGCCTCCGAAAATGCTGGGATTACAGGCATGAGCCACCTCACCTGGCTGCTAATCTCTATTTTTAACAGAGACCTTGGAGCCCAGCCAACTCTAAACCATAGCATCTAGCTAAGAATTAAGTTGTTTCTTCCAATGTTTTTATTTTTACATTTATCATTGCCTTAGGGTACCTGCTACTGGTTTTCTGTATATAATAACGATATGTAGGCCGGGTGTGGTGGCTCACACCTGTAATCCCAGCACTTTGGGAGGCTGAGGAGGGTGGATAATGAGGTCAGGAGATTGAGACCATCCTGGCTAACATTGTGAAACCCTGTCTCTACAAAGAGACATGTGGTGGCACGTGCCTGTAGTCCCAGCTACTCAGGAGGCTGAGGCAGGAGAATCACTTGAACCCAGGAGGCAGAGGTTGCAGTGAGCTGAGATCGCACAATTGCACTCTAGCCTGGTTGACAGAGTGAAACTCTATCTCAAAAAAAAAAAAAGAGAAAAAATGTAAAACCCAGACAGAGTTTTATTCTGTTGCCTAGGCTGGAGTGCAGTGGCATGATGTTGGTTCACTGCAACCTCCAACTCCTGGGTTCAAGTGATTCTCAAGCAGCTGGGATATCAGACATGTGTCACCATGCCCAGCTAATTTTTGTATTTTTAGTTGAGGCAGGGTTTCAGCATGTTGGCCAGGCTGATCTCGAACTCCTGACCTCAGGTGATCTGCCCACCTCAAGCTCTCAAAGTGCTGGGATTACAGGCGTGAGGCACCACGATCGGCCTCTTCTTTTTTTTTCAGATGGGGTCTTGCTCTGTTGCCCAGGCTGGAGTGCAGTGGTGCGATCTCAGCTCACTGCAGCCTCTTCCTCCCGAGGTCAAAAGATTCTCCTGTCTTAGCCTCCCGAGTAGCAGGGACTGCAGGTGTGGGCTACCACACCTGGCTAATTTTTGTATTTTTAGTAGACCAGTTTTCACCATGTTGGCCAGGCTGGTCTTAAACTCCTGACCTCAGGTGATCCACCTGCCTCGGCCTTCCAGATTGCTGGGATTACAGGC